CATCATGATAGCGCAGAATTAGAGTCCGTCGCAATGATAACGCGAAGGGTTGTGTGATGGGCACTGATGTCATCCTCCAAGAAACCTCTTAAAAACGGATGTCATCCTCAAAGGAGAAACCTCCTGATTTATCCCTAGTAGAGCTACTAGTACTGTGGTTACTATTGATCCTTGTTGACATCATCCATTGATGATTCTTCTGCCGCGATGAGTCATGTTCCGTCAGATGAATCTTCAACGTTTGTTCATTTAACAACAACAAAGCGTGAAGTCAAGTGATCAACGCACAAGCATACCGGTAGTACACGTGGAAACAAGAAGGCGAGGTGAGGTTTGTTGGGCGAACGACTGGTGGGGGCCAAAGGTCGTTTTGGAGCAGGACATCAATTTGCAGGGGAGGAGGTGCTGATGTCATCTTGTGCAGTAGCGTAGAATCGCAATGATAATCTGCAACGGATGACGTCCTCTGATGTCATACCGGTACGGCAGGGACTACATACTACCTCCTCTACATCATTCATTCAAGATTCATTCTACAGTACAATAATTGATACCTACAATGCTGATGTCATCCCGTATAGTACCGCAGAATGATACTGTACAGTAGTTCGTCGCAATGATAAGAAATAGACTGATTTGCCAATAAATCAGCCAACGGGGAAGTGATCAAGCAACATGATAGAATAGTTCTGTACAGTACATGTGCAGTACGGTACACGTGGAGCAAAGGCTAGGTTGGAACCCGATCTAGCTAGAGCAATCGAAAACTAGCAGACGTTTGCAATATATCTCCACCAGTAGATAAGTATAGATGCCTACTACAGTACTCAGCCAGTTTCTTGGATAACTATCTGTTCTACAACTCTTCTAATAACTCGCCAATGTGAATCTCTTCCACCTGATTGTAGGTCGCTGTCACTTGAAACTCTTTTCGTTTGAGTTGACTGTCGTCGTATGCTACAAAGACGTGACCAGTATGGGTAGCAGTGTCAAATACATCTCCATCCTCCAAATCTGTTCTGACGGGATGTTCCATGCCATCAAGGTCCTTCCAAAAGAGGTGAACCTTTTCCGATGCCGCGTTGATAAAGCTGGCCTGGGGCTGATCAAAGTCGTGGCCTTCAAACATGGAGCGGACAATGGCGGATACTTGTTCTTCTTCTTCCGGAGTAAGATGTGGCATACTGCCGACAGCTTCGGGGGAATTTTCTTCCAAGTGGTCCAAGGATCGGGTTCGTGGAATGACGGAAACCTTGTTTTGGGTAAACCACTTCAGGAGAATTTGTGCTTCGGTATATCGAATGTCCCTGCCATGCTCGGTCTTGGCAAACGCAGAAAGGGCTCTAGCAATATCTCCCAATGCACGAAAGGCCAAAGGCGTCTCCCCAGAGCGTTCGTAAATGCCATTCATGACATTGTAAACTTGAAAGTGGATCTTGCGCCGATACAAAAAGTAAATCAAATCGGGGTCAAAGACATAGCTCCAAGAATTCCCTTGCATCATATGCGGGACGATGCGACTGTGGACAATCAACTCTTTTATTTCGGGCAAATCAAAGTTGGAGATCCCAATGCTGGTAATTAAAGGCAGGTCGGTGCCCAGCTTTACCTTGCCCATGTAAATGTCTTCCAAGGCCCTCCAGGATTCCAAATAGGCATGATCCTTGTCCAAATGAGGCGGTGGACCAGCGTCCTTGACATATTGTGGCAACAGATTTTCTTCCGCCTCGCAATCCATCCAGGGAACATCGTCCCGACACCGAGGCCAATGGATCAATAGGTGGACGCTAATGTTTGGGCTGTTGAGCTGTTCCAAGGATTCTTTGACAGATATTTTGGTGCGTTCGTATCCCAAATGAGTGTACCAGACCTTGGTAATTACGTGAACTGTACTGTTTGCGCCGTCAGTACTGTCCTGGAGCGATGCAGCATAAGACGACAAGCCCTGTTCGATTCCAGTATGGATGATATTTTCATTATGACTGGCATGTGCTGTGTCAAGCATTCGATAGTTCATTTTCGTTGATAATCCATGGGAAATTTGCGATTCAATCAACTCATGTTGTAAGTTTCCTACGCCCAAGCCCACCAAGGGAAAATCAATGCCATTGGAAAGCTTTGTCGTCGGAAGGTCTGCCGATACGATGGCGTTGTGGAACAATGACCATGTGGACAAAATAGTGAAGACGGAACGGCCCAAGAATGATGGTTTCCTATTCATGTTTTTCTGTAGATATATACGGGACTGACTTCGTAGGCTACTCTGGTACTTTTCAAAGCTGTTAGTGCTGTGCAAAGATGTTTCTTTTGCTGAAGACGGCTTGTTGTTCAACCAAGAATGCTGTTGGCTAATTTTGTTCTGATTTTGATTTGAATTTCATTGAAGTCGAAGTAGTCGAACTCACCATACTGAATTTTCGAAAATACATCCGGGTAGCGATATGAACGATTTTGATTGGTCAATGCTTTGTACCACGATGAAAAGCAGAATAACTCATAAAATCGATCAAAAACAAAAAAAGACTTCGTTCGTTTCACTCTATCTTCTTCTCACTCTCTAGTTTATCATGGACAAAACCACTTTTGCTTTCGGACTTGATTCCTCTAGCTCCTCGAGCTCTGATGATGATATTATAGGCGGATTCGGTATATCTCATGATGATATGCTTGAAAATCCCGCTGTCATTGCAACACTGCTAAAAGGAGCAGCCAGACAGAAGAGAATGGCTCCTGGTTCCGATGGTGACACTGTCGAATTCACCCCTTCGCCTGAGTTTGTAGAGCTGCAAAAGAAGAAGCTAAAACTCATGAAGGAAAAACTCGCACTTGACGAACGAAAATTCGCCAGAAAAAGTCAGAAACTCGAGGCTTCAATGAAAGTAAAGCGAGTCGATGCCTTGCGGAAGAAAAAGGAATACAAAGAAGACGTTGTTGCCGATCCGAGATATCCGTCGATTGACTCCATGGATACTTTGAATAACAAAGTCAATCTGGCCAAGGATTTCAAAAGCTTTCAAAAGAAGAAGAAGAAAGACCCAAGTCATGAAGATTCACAGTTTCCGAATGGAGAATATTCCGAGTCGCAAGACAGTATCGTTCGAACATGCCTCGCATTCGATTCTTTGGCTGCTAAATGCGCCGACTCAATCTAGTAGTGTGTGTCTACAACTGATTAGTAGTAGGTGGATCATTTCTATAATAATTGTAGTGATAGTAGTTCACAACACTTTTTCAACAGCCATTTCTATCTGTCTTATGATCTGAGCGTTCTACGTTCTACTATAGTCCCATATCACGCGTGACAAGAATAAGCAGAGACTATTTTAAAATAACAATATGTCTAAAGTCCAATGTATACATATGTGAATTGTTCTTCATTACCATCTGTGATGAAGACGAATGTAGGTGTTCGAATTGAATTCCCCGTTGTGTTCTGGTACGTACTGTAGTGTGCATCCTCCATCCTCCATCCATTGTGATGAAGAACTGATGATAACGATGATGATGTTGCAATCTGAATGGCTGGATTTACCATGATTTCAGTTCACGCTTCAATGCCGTTTGCTTAAAGTGTGGCAATGCATTGAAGTTAGCCCGGGACATTTCGAAAGCCTTTTCGAATTCGGATTCCGACAAGTATTCGTCCCAGTTACTCATGTTGACAACGTCCGCATCCACGCGGCCTTTCTTGAAATCCTTGAAGGTGTAGGTTGTCCTTCCTGTTTCAGCAGTCCCTGAACTCTTTAGCGAATCTTTTCCTGAGCTCTTTAGAGAATCTTTTGAAGTGTTTCGAGGAATTGTCTTTTTCTTCTTTTCCGATTTGACGCTTCCTTCGTCAATGGGAGCAAGCCCTTTGGGAGACGCTGATCTTGGTCTAGGTCCCTTGGAACGTGACCTGCCCTTTTTCTTGGAAGACTTGGGTTTGTCGCTCTTTGATCTGCCCACCCGGTCTGGTTTTGGAATCTTTCCACTGTCTGTTGATTGCGTGGATTTCGATCTTTTGGGCTTAGTTTTCTTCTTTTTCAATCTCTGTTCGCCTTCACCATCGCTGTCGTCGCCCTTGCCAAGTGCTCCCAGAGCCGATCCCAAGTCCAACGAAGTTGATGATTGCCCCAATGTCACGGTGTCCGAGTCGCTCTTCATTTTCTCCAATTCATTCACCAAATTGTCGTGCTTCTTTTGCAGTCGCTTCAGTTGTTTCGACTTTTTCTCATCCTTCATGGCGTCCTTGTCCTTCATGATATCCTTCACCATGTTGCGGAGTTTCTTAATCTTCTTCTTGAGGATTTTGGTTTCCTCCTTTTGAATCTTTGTATCAATCTGAGCAACCTGCCGCTGACCAGGCCCAGGCTCCGCGGAAGCCATGACGCGTTCCTTTTCTGCTATAACTGCAGCTTCTAGTCGCTGTTCCAACAGCTTGTCTTTTTCTTTGTACGATTCAAGTAGTTCTGCTTCCACCAATGTAAAGATTTCCTTGAAGAGTTCTCGTGTCTTCTCTGCTCCTGCTCCAATCGCGACTTCGTAAAGCTCTTGGGTTTCTTCAAAGGCTTCTTGCTCGATCATTGCCTTTCGATTCTTCTTTTGCATGGCCAAATCACAAATGTAGCTCATGTTGTCATTGAAGGAAAGTCGGGAAACGTCATCATCTTCTTTCGCAACTGCGATCTCTAAGTTCACATTCTGATTGGGCTGGAGAAATTTGGACAGCAAATCCGGTCCTCCGCCTCTATTGTTCAAGGCCATGCTTCAGTATCTTACTTGTGCAGGTGAAAGGCTATTTGCTGAAGGTACGTTTCACTGGTGTGGGCGCGACAAGGTCTTGCTAACAGATATAACAGGTGCAATTGCAAGACCAAGACTGCGAAACGACGAGTCATAGGAGTCATTTTGTAGGTGTTTCAGATATACCGGTATACCCCGCGTGGTCATGGGCAATGTTTTGAGGGACAATGTTTTGAGCCCGCCTGAAGTTCAACACTACACTAGTCCCATCATAGGTCTCACTTTTTTAATAATATGGAACCGTTCTTGTTTCGTCGATCCTGTCTCTTCTATAATTTAAAAACTATATGCTTGCAATGTGCGAAGCGATCTAACAATGCAATATGTTGAACTCGCTTTCGGAATCATTTCTGTTGGCGAGTGCGTCCAACATCTCAGGCAAACTGAACTGGTACCAGTGACGAATACCTGAATTGTCTCCAATGCAAAGTTGCCATTCTAGCCAAAAGGCAGCTTCCATATGTACTGCCACTTCGATGCTTTCGAACATCAACGCAGGGTTTCCGGAATTCAAGGGGATTACGGTCACAGCGGGCTTCGGAACCTGAGGTGAGAGGCATGCTAAAGCATCCTCCAACGAAGATGGCCGCTTCTGTTGATTGGTAATCCACTGCGGGATCTCACCTCGTCCAACAAGATTTGGATCGGGGACGTAGGTGGTACAGAAACAAAAAGCCTATGAGGAAGACAAAAGGAAAAAAGAAAAGGTTTCAAGTTAGATACATGGGTCCTATTCGTCCATCAGAACCAGTCAGTCAGAAACAAAGTGCTGCCTTACCTGGTACAGTTTAGTCCCATCATCGCTTGTGCAAGTGCGCAAAAGCCAATTCTTTGAATCAAAAGTTAACGGACTAAAAGCGGTGCGATCTATATCATTGCAGAGAGCCTCCTTGATGTATGTCTCACAAATCATGGCCAAAATATTTGTGGATTGCAAGACGTCTTCTTCCAACGCTTCAGACGACGTTGAAAACCAACTATGACTTGCTTCGATAACGTTTTATTCAAACTGGTTTTGTACTTGGAATATATGTGTTGGCTTCTCCTTTGCCTTCTTCGCTTTCTTTTCTTCTTTCTGTTTCAGCTTCTTATCTTTCTTTTCCTTTTTCTGTTGCTGTTTCGCTCCTCTCTTTTTCTGCTTTCTTTTCTGGTTCTTCTCGTTCTCGTTGGGTGGCTCAGAGTTCTTGCATCCCGCTTCTGGTTTTGAAGTTGCCGCGCTGCCATCTAGCCAAGAAGCTACAATCACGTTGGAAATCTTTCTTCCTTTGGAGCCCTCCTGGACGTGTCGCTTCGCTTCAGATTCGATACACACTTTTCCTGGCTTCTTCTCCGCTACCTTCCATTTAGCTCCTCTGCGCCATTTTGACAGATTCTCTTCAGTGAACGCAGTATCAGCTAATGAATCCCAAAGAGCCATCTCGTACCCGTCGACGTAAGAAAATAGATTACAAAGAGCGAGAACTGAGTCAGAGTGACACAAAAGACTTGCTCCTAGGCGCTCTGAGACGTTGTTGAACTCGATCGCAGTTGCAATCCTGCCTCTGCCACCATTAGAATTCAAGTCGAACTCGGGATTTTGAATGCCACATTTCGCCAGTTTCTGCTTTTGTTTTCCCATCCATCCAACAGCAGCATTGAAGATCAATTCCTGGGTTTCAATGGCCTCTAACGCCGGTTGCCCGTTATCTGATGTGGTTTTGGCTTGCAATCCAAACGAGAGAATGGACAACAGAAGGAAGAGTGGATTCCGTGGCAATAAAGTAACGCCTTCTACCCTGATTATTCCTCCCCCTACCTCAAGTGCGTTCGAACAACATGCGAAAAGCGGTCCTGTGCTGTTAAATGCTGATGTTGGCACTGTGTGTGGTTGTACAAAAACTTTTCCTTCAGTTCCATGCCGCTTCCAGCGAGAATTCAGATTAGATATCCATCGGTCGAGATGCACTTCCACCGTAGCGCTATCTCCAAGCGTTTCGCTCTTCTCTTCCTTCTTCGCAAACTGCAATCTTGGGCCTCCCGCGCGTGATGCTCCGGACGCCAACACACCGAGAAGGCGAGCACCCTCAGGGATATTATGCAACAAAGGACGCTTCCAACTGGACTTAATAGTAGTCTCAAGCTCGTCTTTTCCAGGTTTTTTCAAGACTAATGGCTTGTTCTTCATTTGATGGAAACGGATTCTTGTCACGCCATTGTTCCTCACAAGTGAATGAATTTCCGAGCTGGCTAGAAGATCTTTCAGATCGAGATGGGAAATCGCCTGGCAAGCTCCACGAATGACTACGGAGAACTTCTGTTCAGTGATAGTGGTGTCACTGATTGTCTTTTTTTTCCTTTCAGGCACAATAGGAAAACACCAATGAAGATAGGATTTTATTTCATCCCGCATCAGTGCTTTATCAATCTGATTGAGCAGCAATACTTTGGTTTCTTTGGGGCATTCTTGTATATGGAACCGTTTGTAAATCTTCCCTTCCGGCGGAATTCGTTCGTCATTGTTGACAACCCTTGCCGTCCACGCGCCACATTTTCTTTCCGAAATGCCTCTTCGAGCCGCCTTCCAGCCCTGGTCTACTACGATGTCCTGTTCTGCGATAGCACACTCCAAAGAATCAAATCCTGAGATGGTGTCCTTCGCACAATCGAAATCAGCTTGTCGAAACAGGTAAAGGTTGTTCCCATAGTCACAAGCGACCAAGTCTACGTTCACCTCCACCATGTATGACACAAGCTTTGCTTGGAAATCCACAATAAAGGTATCAAGCTCGAAAATTCCTTGATAATTGAAGTGACCAACTTGTTTCAAGTGCGCAGAGTTTAGTATCTCATACGGGTGTCTTGCAGCATGCAGCACTTTGTCCAGCTGTGCCTTTTCAATCACACCTTTTTGAACGCTGAGGGTAGCGGATCCGTCGTGGCTTCGGACTTCAACATTCTTTGGAGGCCATGTTTCAATTATTGTTTCTGGAAACACCCATACTTGTAGGATGCGTAAAATATTTACCTTCGCGTGAGGCATCAACACTGGTGGAGTCTCAGGAATCAACACATTTTCATTGATACCAAAGTACTTTGCCACACGGGTCCTTAGACTTTTTCTTGTTGCCGATAGTTGTTTCATTCGAGCAACGGCCATGCTGTGTTTAAAGCACCACGATACTTTATTTGGCGCGGCATCGTATTCAGCGAGCGCATTCATCAACGACATAGGTTCTGAGTACAGATTCGCGTCGAAATGACACCTTGATACATATCCACCCGACGTAATTTTATTGAAAGTTGTTGAATCATGAAACAATGTGTTGGCAACTTGAAATGGCGCCTTGGGAAACGACATCATCGCTGCCATCTCGATTGCTTCTGCAGCAACACCAAACTGAATACCAAGCCCAATAAGAGATCCCAATGTCAAGTCGATTCCCAGGGAAGAAACAAAACAACCAAGCGACGTAATGTCGGCTTCATCATCCGGTTCCTCGATGAAGTTCGATCGATACAAGCTCTCAAACGACCGGTCGATGGTGTCCATGCTCGGTGGCTCGATGCAGTTGCACAAGACAGGGATGACTTCCTCGTGAAGCATTTCCTTCAGCATCAAGATAATGGAATCGAGCGGCACCCGGCTGATTTCTCCTGGATCGAACTCATCCATAAAGTTCTCGAACGTTTCTCTTGTATACAGACGGTAGACATTCCCTGGTCGCACTCTACCAGTTCGGCCAGCCCTCTGCTTGGCACTGGCTTGCGAGATCCACATAGGCAAAAGTATCTGGCGGTGAGTCGTAGGATTGTAGTCGATTTGCCGACAAAGCCCAAGGCAAATGACATGATCCACAGTTGGCAGCGTAACTGAACTCTCGGCCGCATTTGTTGCAATGATAATTTTGACTTCATCTTTATCAGGTTCTTTGAAAGCTTCCATTTGTTCCTCGAAGGGAATATCGGAGTGAATGGGGCAAGTAGTGTATCTTTTCCCGGCCACCATGAACTTCTCAATGCATTCCGTGATGACAACAATCTCATTCATTCCTGAAAGAACGGAGAACGAGAGTGAGCTGAAAATTTTCTGCGAAATGACAATATGTCTCGAGCCGTACCTGGGACAAAAATGAGAACGGAAGTTCCTGGTTTACCAACTGCTTTGGCTAGATTCGCTGCCAACGAGAAGCGTTTTGCAAGCTCAAATGCTGTGGGTGTAGAGTTGCATCTCTTTTTCTGACATTCCTTTACAATTTCTCCGGCAGCCTTCATCTCATTCCGTGGAAGTTTGAATTTGTGAAGATCTTCGACGAAGTATGGCACAATAGGATAGGTGCGGACGCCAACATGAATCGGATCGTTCGGCACCATAAAATACTCTTTGTAAAGCTTCGTAGCAAGTGTGGCGCTCATCAACACAAGCCGGATGGTCTTATTTCTTTCCAAGAGACGACGACACAATAGACACAAGATGTCCGTGTCGACGGATCGCTCGTGAACTTCATCAATAATCAAATGCGTCAAGCCATCGAACCTCTCAGGGTGATTTGCCAGTAGGCGTGTTAGATACCCTGTTGTGACGAACCAGGCTTGCGTATGCTTTGTTTCGTACTCTCTCCATCCATGGCCCATTCGAATTGCAAACTTTTGACGATGTTCAGGTTCACAGCTGCGCACTCGTTCGACAAGACCCTTTGCCGCAATACTAGTACGGGAAACAACAAAAAGGTTGTGAACAAAACTCATTATGATTTCGAAAGGCACATTTTGATAAAGCAACCTACCGTCTTGGCTGAGAAATGAAAAACTTGACTCTCGGTAAGGTTGGTTCTGGTGATGGCGCATTCAAAACCATCACGGGAACCCGACTGCTTTTTCCGCAACCTGTCTCTCCATGAATGATAGTGACACGATTGTTGGCGATATTTCGAATGATTCGGTCCTCGTGGGCATCGATCGGTAGCATCTTGCGTTCCGAAAGCACGGACACTGGTTCCTCCTTGATAGATTCGGTAGCTCGATCGTCTGGGGAAATGTCGCCACCAACTTCATTTGTTTCCTTGGATGCCAAGATGCTGTGGAAACGATAGTGACTGAACAGCGTGCTAGGCTGTGTAAACCCATCAAGCAGTGAAGATCGTGGAGACTTCAAGATGACAGAAACGCATTTCTCAATGACGTAGCATGCCAGGACATGAGACCATTGTGGTCGACGATCTAGCTCAAAAGTCTTATTGTTCGTGGTCGATGATGATACGAGCTCGTCATAGGCCTTTAAATGGACCAGTCCAAGAGTAGCGGACTTGTCGCTACTTGTTTGCTCGACATACCATGATAAACATCGTTGAACGGTTTCAGCAAGTCCAAGACCAGCTTGGAGTGCACTGTCAGCTTCCTTGGCCACATCGAAAGGAAGCTCAGACCTCAAGTGTTTGGCAAAGTCTTCGTGTTCATCCAATGCAGATTCATCTATTCCGGACGCATCTTCGAGAGGAAATGAGTCGAGGTCGTCCAAATTGTACAAGGCCCTTACGAACGCCAATTCCTTTGCATATTTGTTGGAGGATGACACCAAGAACCCATCAAGCTGCTCACCCAAATAGCGGGCCACGTACAGAGGATCCCCTCGATCGAACCCGTCTTTTTTGGGTACCTTCATCGACTGGATGTAATCATTACCAAGAAGGATCGCTAGTTCTACCATCGCTTCGTCGTCGATTCCAAGGAGCATCGCTAGATCTTTCCGCTTCCCGACGCAGGCGTGGATGGCATCATTCTCTATGAAAACGCAATCAAATGGCACATACTGAATATCTTTATAGAAAAAGAAATCGGAGTCTTGCCCAAACACGTAGCAGTTCGCATTTCCAGAGGCCGCTCTAGCAAGTTCGACATCGGCTTCTTCGGAGCAGTAGACCATGTCGACTTGATTGTGATGCAAAGATTTTCGAACTGTTTGCATGAACAGGCCGGGAAGGGGGAAATGATTTAGAAAGCCAAAGACTCTTTTCTCATTCGGCAATTCTCCACGCAAACAGTACTGGTGCATGTTGGACCATTGTTGATGCCGCTGTTCCATACGTTTCTTGAGCGTAATAGTCTTGAAACGACGAGAGGGGCCATCCCAGAACACTTTGAATTCAAGATTGCAGAGCCGGAGACGCGCTGTAAATTCAAGGGTGACATCCTCCAGCAAATTTAGCGGCATCATACAAGGAAGTGCAAGTGTCGAATCAGATGGCGAGAGAGTATTAACGGAAGGGAAAGTGCTCTTTTTTCGGCCTGGAAAGAGCGATATGAGATACCGAGCATAAGCAACTTTGAATAGATAGAAAGCAAGGCCGTTTCCATCAATGAGTATCAAAGATTGCTTTGGAATCTTTTGGATTGGCAATCCATGATGGGAAAGCGACAATGACGGATCCCAATCCCTCCATAGTCTACAAGCTGCATCACCTTCATCGTTGGTGGAATCTGTCGGAACCCAGCGTTGGTTCTTGACTACACTGGTTATACGGTGAACACCCATCAAATGGTTCTTTTTTATATGTGGGACAGTTCAAGGATTGCAAACATACGATGGGGCTTCTGATTGGACAATCCAAACCTTGAAATTTTCGAACGAGTAGGATTTTGGTTGCCGCTCTGAATGAATCGTTTGCAATCTTGCTTTTTTGGCCGGGAAATAAGTGGGCATAAGTCAGCTGTTCATGTGGAAGATAAGTGACCGCAAGATTGATGGGTCCCAGGCGAGTCATTTTGATTTCAAAAGTGTTAATTAAAAAACTCATGATGGGATTTGTTCTGATCGGAGATCAGCAGATGACCCCCTATGGTCTATCTCGCCGAAATATGCGGATAGAATTTCACTATCGAACCTAAAAAATGACTCTCCTCCACAAAAGATCTTAACTTTCACGAGCTGCTTGAATCCGTACTACTGCACAGGTAACCCCCAAAATCAGAAGACAGTCTTGATTTGGAGCAACCGTCAAGGTATGCCCATCGAGAAACGATATGAACTGCCGATCCAACATTCCTGCAAACTTTCCGTTCACTCGAACGGTCTGTTGAAAGCAAGGACGTCGGAACTCGAATACTGTCTGGGGCAGATGACCTCTTCCAATAACATCATAGGATTTCCCAGCAAAGCCACCTAATGATTGAAAGTTGCACTGTCGCGGCGGGCAATCTTTGACCGTTCGCCATGACGAAATACACATCACACAAGTAATCCGTCATGCGAAAGCATTCCTTCATTTCTAGGAGGGGAACTCCGTACATGGTACTGCGCAGAGGTCAAGTCAATGACAGGATTTATTTGTGGAAAGTCGGTGCGCTCCAGCACCCGAAACCATTTTTGTTTGTTCTCATAGCCCCTCCTCCTTCCACCCAATATGTTTTCGTTGTCCGCAAAGGAAAACCACTTGAGGTTTTCTGCATTGGTTGAGGGTGTGGTTGGAACTTTAAAAATTGTATCGTCTCATGATTCGTCACATTTAAAGTTTGGGCTACTGAAGATTCCACATTTCTCTCTCTTCTTTAACAGCCGTTTCTTGTGCTTCCTTCGCCCTTTCCTGTGCTTCCTTTGATCAAGCTTGCATTCATCGTCCGTCGTTCGTTATTCCGATTCTCGCCGTTCCGCAATTCTCAGCAGTCCTTGCCTATCTCCGGGCGACAAGGAGAGCGTCTCCTGCAATAGATGGGACCGAAGTATTTCGGGTCCATTGGAATTCAATACGTCCCACAAGAACAGTTGCATTCTTCGGGCCCGTTCCAATACATTTTCCACGGAGTGGGTATAGTCTTCCCATACGGCTCCCTTGGGTGGAATTAATGGTCTCGAGTTGCGAGTCAAGTGTTGCATAGGATAAGACATGAAATGTCTGCGAAAGGTGGAAAATCGTATTTGTGCCTTGATACAGAGTGGCGAATGATCATCGTGATCACTCTTGCTGTAATTGATGCCTAGATCGTTCTCATCAGCAGTTTCATAATGCGTATGGCCTTCTTCTGATATCTCTATTTGGTAAGCTCGATGAGGACTGCCTTTGCTAAAGAAGGGAATGCCATGACATGCGTTGGTCGCATCTGGAATATCAAATACCAACTCGCGGACTGGGGTCACTGTTACAACCAGTTCGGACGCAGGACGCGGTCCGTTGACATTGGAAGCAGTGGAAGGCTCCATTTTATCCGTAGAGGCTTCAGCTCTTTCCTCATTTGCTTCATGTGATCATGACTGGTATTGGTACGGCAGTATTATTTGAAGATGTTGGATGTCGCAAGTCGAAATTTTTTGAAACGATTGATGTTGGTCGAAGGGATCGGATCGAAATGAGTCGTGGAACATATCGAATCAAATTTGCTTCGTGGCACTTTTGAGAAATGGAGTCGTGGGGAAATAGGGTTCAATCCTGCAGATGAAGACATTTTCAATTCAAAAACAACCCACACAATATCAAACCAAACCACAGCAGCTTTTCTTGATCTATCAACTGAACAGTGTAGACAATAGGTCTACATTCAATTGCGTGACATCATTTATTACTACAAATCATACTGCAAAATGAACAAACGACAAGGAACGAACCGCCTGCACAATTTCCTATTCCTGGCACTGCTCCTTGGAGTTGCCTCGGCTGCGCCTTGGAAGGTGGATGAGTTTCCCAAACCTGACTTTGGATTGATTGCAGATCCCGACAAGTTGCTTAGTGAACAAAGCTTACAAGAGATTGCCGATCGCATCGACGAGATCACCGACAAGGTGGAGGTCCCTGTCCAAATTGCCGTGGCCGTTGCCTCCAAAATGCACCTTCCCAACAACTTTTACCAAGACGATCAAGACAACGGAAACAACCCAGATGAAGAAGCAGCCGCAGAAGAATTTGCCAGAGGGCTTCACGACAGGTAAGACACTATTGAATGTTTGGAATTCTTGGCATGTTGTACCGGACTAAGATAACATATCGTTGCATGACAGATGGGGTGTCGGAATTGATGGTGAATCAGGAGGGACTGGAGTCTTGATTTTTCTTTCCGTGGACGACCGAGTAATGTACATCTCACGAGGAAGCTCTTTTGACACTTTGCTCCGCAATTCTCGAATTGATTCCATCATTAAAGATTTGCGACCTAGGTACGTTGGTTCGAGAAGAGAATGCTCTTACAGTCGCTTTGTGAAGAAGAAGAAGACCTAACTGAGTTATCCACTATCTGCCTTTGTATATGAACAGTATGCGACAAGCCAAATATGGGGAAGGACTAGTTTTGGCCGTCGAACTCATCGGAACCTACATTCAAAAGGGAGAACCGAAATGGGACGAATTGGTTTGGGATTACTTGAGAATTGAGTATTTCTTGTTGTCTGGTTATGCGCTTGCAATCTTGGGTTCCATGCGAGCAGCTCGAAGGCGCCGAGAGGCCCAACGGGTCTATGCCGAAGCCGCAAGTCAATTGACTGCCATCGACCGGGCCCAAGCGGAAGCACTTCAAGGACAGTTCAATGCTACCTCCTGTCCAATTTGTTTGGAAGACTTTGCGTCAGACACAACTGGATCGGACGATCGACCTATCAAATTGTTACGGTGCGGACACGTCTTTGATGCATCGTGTTGGGAAGAATGGGTCAATAGTGGGCAGGGACAGGTGTCCAAGTGCCCGATTTGCAAAAAGGATGTGGGAGAATCAAGTGTCGCTGCTGGCGAACAACCGCCACAAGCTGAAGCCATGGCACCATTGGACGACACTGATGTACGTCAACACGAGCATCTCCATCACGAGCATCATCGCCATCGTCATCATCATCGCCAACACAATCGTGCCATGCAACTCTTTCAACAAGATCGCAACTTTCGTTTGACTCGATTGGCCATGCGGTATCCCAATGTAGTTTCACAACAGCAAGTCCAACGATGGAGTTCTCCCACCTACAATGGACAGCTCGCACAAGATAGGTCATTTGTGGAAAGCCGGCCTCGTGCTCCCGTTGTTCAAAGTGCTCGTCACAGCGACCGAATGGGAGGTTCTTCTGCCAGTTTTGGAGGCGGCACTTCCTCTGGTGGTCGTGGAGGACGATTTTGAGAATCACGCAGCGAAATAATTGCATACGCGTACTGTACCAAAAGCAGTATCCAAAGTCTATAAAGATCTATTATCAACTTTATGATTTGTTCTGTATTATGGTAGCTGGAGGCTGAAGTTCATTGATTTCTCGCAAACTGTTGGAAAACAATTCCACCGACTCTCGTAGTTTACTAATACTGGTCGTTCCTTCCAACAAGGAGGTGCGAGCCAGCAACTGTGGAGCGTCCACACCCAGTCGGGCCCATGAGTCTTGAGTATTGATATCACAGGCAATGTGAATGTCCCACAAGGCCCGCCATAGCCACTTTTCAATCCCACGCTGGTGATTGTGTTCGCGGTCTTGACCACCACCTTTGATGCACCATTTTTGCAAGCAAAAGGCGGTATCGGAAAGCAACTGCAAAGTGACATATTGCAACAAGAGCCATCGCAGGCCTTTGTCACCATCCAAAACTTCTTCGATCAATCGATCCAAACAAACTTGAAAGGCATCATAGGCTTGTGGCAGCAATTCCTTCGTATGCTGGGACAAGGCCAATTTGTCGTCCACCATATCAAATCGTCGGACCCATCCCGTCTCGTCGTCTTCTTCCATACCCAACGTGTGAAAGAAGGAAAACAAAAACTTGGTCAGGAATCCCGGCAACGATTGGAGCTCGGGTTCGCCTAAATCAAAGAGGAACAAGTCATCTTCCGTGACGAATAAATTATGAATGCCCGCATCGGCCAAACCACAATCCCAAATTCGTTCCAAGGCGGAAGGACTCATGGTATCTCGAGTGTCTACTGCCCGTCGCAATATGTTCTTCCAAAACTCGTCACCGGGATTCAATGGTGCATCTTCCTGTGGAGAATCCAAAAAGACATCCGACATCCTAGAATCCTCCTCCAATAGCCGTCCAATCATTTTGGCAGGCAACTCTTCTTCTGGTGTAAGGACAAGCAAACCATAAACTCGAAACTTTTTGCCCATTTCTTGCAAGAATCGGATACGACCCTTTTCTTCATGAAAGTTTTTTCGAATCGCATTGCCCACAAAGGTATTGGCAGTATTGGAAATTTCGCTAATCTTCAGGTCTGGGTCGCATTCAAACCGATTCAGTTCCTCCCGGACTTGATCCACCACATCGACTTCTTCGGGAAGAGTCATTTCTTGCAAGTGCCGAATGACCAAAATAAATTGAGAAATAAGATTTTCAAGGACGGCTCCATGCAGTTGTCCACTGTACAACCATTGGTTGCCTGTGCGTGGGGTTTCTCCCCCAATGGTCTTTTGAGCAAGCGTGAATTTGAGCAATCGCTCCGTCATGGTTCTTATGAGCTCGTGAGCTATATCATCCAATTCTTCGTAGGAATTATGCCGCAGCATGACCGTCTTATGGTCGATGAATTCCGAATCATCTTTGGGCAAGATGACTGCCAAAGATCGACGTTCCTCTGTTTCAATATCGAGTTGCAAAGTGAATTTATCGACATCATCCGTTTCGTACAACCGTATGCTCATGTCGCTATTCAAGATTTGGAGCGCCGATTCGTCAAGGCGGAACGATTGTCGTCCTCTGGCCACGAGATTATTTGTCGAGGAAAACTTGTCGACGAGTGATTTCAAGTTTTCCCATCGATTGATTCGCTTTTCCACAATGTGCGAAGGACTAATGTAAATCATGCGAAATTCAGGTAATCGTCGTTGCATATCAATCGCAGCCTTCATCCCTCCATTGGCATCGCCTCGTTTTTTCAATTCATTTTCAATAGTGGCCAGAGCAAAGAGTTCGTGCATATCCTTGTAGCCTCCATGTTTCATAACTATATCTCCCAACTCGGGATGATGTCCGCCAAAGACGGCTACACCACTGCCCCCTCCGGCAAGGGTTTCCATGGAATCCATGACCGAAGGTGCGTAGACGTTGGGATGGATCTCAGGGAAGTTGGCATCTGGGCACAAATGAAGTTGAATGTGTCCATCATGAATGGTAATCATTAAACCAAAGTCGGAGAGGAATGAGAAATCTTCGTCTTCACTGTAGTCGTCAGACTCTTCGCTGGATATAGAACTGGAAGAGGTGAGCAATTTCATTTGGCTCAACCGTAACCGCCGGCTATTAGCTTTGGATTTCCGTGTAGACGGCATTCTTCGTTGTCTTTGTTGAAATGGCAAATTTCTATCAACAACACTTTCGTTAACTACTGTCTCTGTCTTCAGGTTCGTGTAGAGCTAGTAGTTGTGTATGTGTGCTTGGATATGTCGTGACAAGGCTTGTGTGAGAGTATGTGTGTGTGTCTGTGTGTCTGTGTGATTATCTAAATCTTCTGATTAAAATTTTTCTTACAGTTCGTTGATGATTTGTCCAACTCCAACTGAATTTATTATTGCGTTCGGTTGAGAAAGAAGCTCGTCGAGCAAGCATCGCGTGTAACCAGAACTCCAAGCTCGCACGAGATTCTCCTCTGCGAATCAGCCAAGAACA